ACTAGGGCCTGGCATCAGTATATCTTGGCAAAGCCTGATCAAGGCCACCCAAATTACCTTGGCCATGGGGGGAAGCTACAAAACAAGATGGCTTGTAGTTTAGAAAGCCAGTAGTGTATATATAACCCCTTACTGTCATTTTTAAGTAACAAAGCAGCGTTTTTAAGCACTGGAAATCTCACTGAGCTTTCTCTAAGTGGACAAAGCACACAGTGTGAGATAGAAGCCTGAGACCCTCATCTCTGTGGGGTCTAGCCGAGTGCACCCTCCCACTGAGTTGCTGAGTGACCTTCAGCCAGTCTTTGAACCTAATCAGGTTGATAACTGAGTGACCCCTTAGGATTGTAGTGAGAATAAAATGGGGGGGGGGGGGGAGCAGAGGAACTCTTACCCTGGGAGAGAATGTAAACTACTGCTTTCAGGGAGCTTCTGGGTCACAGAATGTCAGCCCTGCCAGGGACCACAAAGGTCATCTTGCCCAACCTCTTCCCAGGACAAATGGGGAAACTGAGGTCTAGAAAGAGAAAATACTTTGCCCAGTGACCACAGCTAGAGTCCACATCTGATGTGCTTAAGGCTCTTTCCATGACGGGAAGAATCTGGGCATCCATGTTTTCGGAGTGAACGGAGGCTGCACACAGAAGCATATTGTTGGACTGTGTTTAAACTATGCTCTGCAGAGAGAACCCCAGCTGCCTCACCACCCTTCAGCCAGCCCCCCTACACTTTTTTCTGTTCTCTATTTCAGAGTGTTGGTGCAAAAAATTAAGTCAGTAGTCTGGATGATCTTTCAAGTTCCTCTTGTGCTGATTATCAAAGAACACTGGTGCCTCTCCTGGCCATCCTTGGAACATTTTTGCTTACATTTAAATTCAGAAATGTCAATTTCTGTATTTCTACAAGGTCATAGTTATGGGCGTTTTTTCCCCACCGAGAACTGAACCTCCTTTTCCCTAGACTTTAATACTGTTGACTTTCGTAGCTAGAGAAAGATAATGGCCCTTTCTCAGTCTTCCCCTTCCTCCTTTCCTCTTCAGTATTTGAGTCTTCTCCCCATTCATGTAAATTTCTCTTACTCCTTGACTTCTTTGACTTTGTACTTCTGCATTACCTCTTGTATCTCTTGAGTCTTTTTTTCTTCATTTCTTACTGATTCTGCTTTCCTTTCCATCACTGAGTTGTCTTTCAGAAGAGCCCAGGCTCCACCTCCTCCATGTCTCTGGTTTGGTGAGTGCTGTGGGGGAGGAAAAATAATTTTCCTTCTACCCTTCTGGCTGGACTACTAATTAAACTGGCACAAGAGAGATTAGAAGGAGAAAAACAAAGTCCAATAAAATGTATGCCTCCTGTATACATGGGAGAGACCCAGGAAAACTGAGTAACATTCCAAACTGTGGAAGCCATCACCATCACCTTAAATACTACCTTTGGCCAAAGACAAAAGAAGGTGCTGGGGGTGGGTAATCAGTTCTGGGAAGTTACCAGGCAAAGCACAATGAACAAGAATGAGATTGTTATGTAGATTTAAGTTGTTGTCTTCCCCATTGATAGTGAGTGCAGGCCTGGTGGAGTGCAGCAAACACACATGCAGATGGGGATTCCCTTAGAACGCACATGCCCTTTACAAGGTCCTGCTTGGTTTTCAGAGCTTTCCCCCTGTGTGCTCTTTCTTAAAATTAACCAGCTGGAAATAATATCCCAAAGATATTTTGAGGTGGCAAGCTCTGCTCCCCGTTAGTACCTATAGATTTTCCTCACTAAATCTCACTCTGTGCACTGGTCTCTTGGATGTCCAGTTTTTAGCTGTAACTCAAAATCAATTTTTTTCACCACTTTCTGCTGTTGCTTTTTAGTTCCTGCATTTCATTCATTGCCCCATCATTCTTTTATCCCTGTAACTAGAAACAGTGGGGGAGGAAGAAACTTTCCTCTGCCCTCACGGTTCTTTCAGCTCGTCTAATAATAGTCAAATAAACATGAAATAGATTAACAAGAGAAAATAGCCAAATGTAATTACATACATATGTATGGAAAGAAACCCTACATACCTGTGAGAGCCAGAGACCCACATACATGAGAGGTTCAGAGACAGAAAGGGAAATTGAAGTATAAGATGTTCTGAGCTACGGGTGAAGTTAAAGCCCTTTGGGGCTTCAAAAAGTAGTCAGTAATTTCAGGGAGAGCACGTGTTCAGCAATTATTACTTTGTCCTGCCATGTAGATAGGTAAAAAGTCATTTCTGGTGATAATTCTTAATGTGGGCAAGGCTCCTGAATTCTTCTGGATAGTGAGGGGTGGGGGGCTGGACAGAAGTTGCATTTGAGCCTGCAGAGTCTTGATTCCCTTTAGCTGAAAATAATCCACATACCGCTTAGGCACATCTTGGGCTTGCTTATTCCAAACCCCTACAAAACCTTGGCAAAATCTGAATTCTCTGACCTCGTGCTATTTTTACCAATTTTGTACCTCAGATCACCCATCTTTATGTCTGGATTCCAATAGCAGGACCAGGCTCTTGTCACTTTTCAGCTGGATTTCTGCACTGAACTGCCAAACTCCTCTCCCTCCCCAGTGCATTCTCCTTCTAGTTGGTCTGGTCTGTTGAATCTTTTTGAAATCCCATGTGAAATCTTTTTTAGAAGAAGGCAGGATAAAATTAGATTAATAGAGGTCTCTCTGCCCCATCCTCCTCATTTCTATTAGGGATCAGTGCTAATAATCAAGCCTTTCTGTTCTTTATCGCTTCAAAGGATGTCACCTATTGAACAGTCATCACTCAAAACTGATTGTGTCTAAGATCCTCAACGAGACACCCAGGTGACTGTCTGAGGCTCACTGTTCTGACAAGCAAGAAATAGCCTTTGTTTCCGAAACTGGTTACCAAGTACATGCTAGAATTTTGTTTCTCTTTTTCCTACTCATGTTCTCCTAGTCCTGAGCTAACTACTAAGATGCTGAGATTTCTTGTCCTGGTGTGATGACTCAAACCTTCATTCTAAGGCATCTGAGTCACTGGTGGTACCGCATTGCTCTGGGCTTCTGTTACTTTTACTTCAAGGAGGTGCCCTTGGGTAGAGAGGGGAAGAAACTTGCCCAGGGTCTGTGGCCAGGAGGTGGGGCCTGGCGTTGGTACCATGGTCTAGTGGGGAAAGCAAAGGCTTTTAAATCCTTGCCCTGTTACTTAGATGGGGGATATTGGGAAAGCCATTTAACTTCTCTCCAAGCCTGAGTTTCTCATCTTTAAGAAATGACAATGTCTGCCTGAAAGGACTGTTATGAAGATTAAACATAAGGTATTTAGGTTATAATTCCTGGAAGTTTAGAATTTATACTTGACCCTTTTCCTTTCTAGTCATCTGGTACCAGGCTTACCTGCTCAGTTAGAGGAAGGCAGGTTTTTACTTTTCATTGCTCCTTCTACCTCATAAAGCTGGGAAGGAGTGTCAACATTTCGTTGTTTACTGAAGTTCATAAAATCTCTACTAGCTTTTTAAAAATATCAGTAGCCCTTAGAACCAGGATGAATCTGGCAGCCATGTCATTTGTGCAGATGAGGGAACTGCAGGCCTCAGATCCCCGGGAGGAAGCCAATCTGTGTAGCTGGGAGATCTGGAGATGGAATTTTCCACCATGTGGCCTCAGTTTTCCTATAGATGTTATAAAACTGTTCATTGGCAAGGGCTCAGGACAATGAGAACTAAGCAAAAATTGAGTCTCCAGAAGAAAACATTAGGTCCCCTATAATGTAGAAGGTGAACATCTATTGTGTTGTTGCCAACTCCTAAGTCACACTGGAGCAGCTTCCTGTCCTGCATTGAGTCTGCATTGGGCCCAGCTGATAGGGAGAGCCTTCTCATTTAATTTGAGTCCTTATTTAAGTGTTTGTCCTGGCACAAACATCATTTTTTTCATCTTTAAAAAATGCATGGGAACACTAGGTGAATGCCAGTCTCTTTGGACCTGAGGGCAGCTGGGGCTTTCCTCTGTCCCCGAGGCTCTTGGACAGGCCCCATGTGGACTCACACTTGAGTCATCAACGTCCTGAAGTCCTGCAGTTTCAAGTGAGTGAGTTAGAGCAGGGAATAAAGCAGGTGGGTTGGAAAAACAGTTTTAGGAAATCACCACTTTACCTAGGAAAAAAGAACCAATGGAAATAGACTAAAATGTTAACAGCAGTTGTCTTTAAATGGAAGGGCTAAGTAAAATATCTTTTAATTATTCTGTGGTTTCCACATTTTCTAAAGTGAGTACATACAGTATTCCTTTTATAATAGGAAAAAGAACTTTCAAATTGCCATTTTAAATTACTGGTAAAGAGTGAAGTCCAAATGAAAAGTTGCCACAGTTTATAGTGTGATTAATAAACACACAAGTAGATACTAGTTAGGTTAGTATTTTTAGAGTTAATTGGATCGAAGCACATCTGTAAAGGAGAGATTTGTAGATGCTAGCCGAAACGTGTGATAAAAGATTCAAGCCACCTCATTTCTTTTTGAAATGTCACTGGTAAAAAATAAAATAAAATAAAAATTCCATTTCTGGGCATTCCATACCCTTAATCAAGTTTATAGGGTACCTGGGGTCCAAGAGAAAAACTATATTCTTCTGTAGGGAGGTTAAGTTGTCACCAGGTTTATGCTAAGTGCCACAAACGTTTGGGTTGCTTATGATTGGCATGTGAGGTCTATTTCTCTTAGTTTGAGGAGAGTTCCCGATGGGCATCCTCTGGGTTCTTCGAAGGAATGATAACAGCCACCGGTCTTGCCCACACTCAGTGGCGGTAGGAGTTACGCAAGGATGTGAATACCAGGAGGCAGAGATCATAGAGACCACTGTGAGTCGGTCTGCCATAACTGTCTAGTTTCCCGTGTCTTCAGCACCCTGAGCAGTGTGCAACACATACTAATTTCTAATATTTGAATGAATGGCTGTAACAGGAAAGTTGTATTTCCAACTTCTAGTTTAAGCCCCTTTCTTCACTTCCTTTTCTTCTATTTCAGAGTTACTGATTTATTTTTGAGAATCCTCTATTTTCATCTGTCCTCATGGATGAACTTCAGGATGTTCAACTCACGGAGATCAAACCACTTCTAAATGATAAGGTAAAGACTACTCTGTTTTCACTAAAATATAGAGATTACTCTTCTCACTAAAATGTCTTTTTTCCCTATAATTATTCATTTCTGTATTATCTAAATGGTAACTAACTCAAACCACATTTAGCTTGACTTTCTATAAAGGGAATACTTTTATTTTTTTATTGACTGATTTTTAGAGAGAGAGAAACATCCATTTGTTGTTTCACTTATTTATGCAGTCATTGGTTGCTTCTTGTACGTGCCCTGACCAGGGATTGAACCCACAACCTTGGCTTATTGTGACAACACTCTAACCAACTGAGCTCCCCAGCCAGGGCTGGAGGGAATACATTTTAAAATACATTCTTTAACCATCTTTTTGATGGTTTTTCTCTATTTTCTTTCTTCCTACTTTGCTTTTATGGACCAAATTCAGTCAAGTTATCCTTGAAATTTTCTTGTTTTATAGATAGAGATAGTAAGGGAAAAACTAATAGGCAAAGTGAAGTAGAATGTATGAGAATGGGGTTTAACTTAGAATCCAAGGGTCTTGAGTTTCAGTTTCTCTGAGGAAGAGTTAACTAGCAGCCATGGCTGGTAGGGTACATAGGCTCCAACACTCTCCCTAAAGTTTGTCCAGTAAGCAGTGTGATCCTTCTGTCAATGTAGAGGTTTTCGTCAGGGATGCCTGGATGTCAGTAATAAACATCACTTTTCTGCCAGTGTTAGAGAACTACACAGAGTAAAGAGCCGTATGATACAAGTTACCAACCAGCTGAGAAAGGCTCACCCTCTCTCCGGTCCCTCTCTGTTCTGTAAATGTGCCCGAAATTCCTTCTCTCTGGTCCTCCTCTTCTGGTTTACTGTCATTGCTCCCTGCTAAAACATTCTTGTAGCCTGGTGTGAAGGACTGCATGGCATTCTTTCCCGCGGGGAGCATCGATGAGGAGGGAGGGTAAAGCGGGTGAGGTGGGGGCGCAGGGTACACCAGAAGATGCTGCTATACCCTGTTACCTTTGCTGCCCAAAGGAAGGCCCTTCACCTACAACTTTCTACGGCTGCTGACTCACTGTGTGTTTCATTCATTTGCTCTTGGATCCTGTCAGCCCCATTTTCTTCCCTGTGATGTCATCTGTCCATCCCCACTCTTACTCCTTTCTTCGTCTGTCACCAGACTTCTTGCTCTTTCCCTTGGCAAGCTGCACACTTTGTGTAGCCCCCTGTGGCTTATTTTGTGGCTTCCCTCTCATGTTTTTTCTTTTAAACTCTCCTTTAAGTAGTAGTGTCTTTTGGTGTATGTAAAGGGCTGTCCCAAAAATGATGTGCCACAAAGAGGAGGAAGGAAACAAAATTCCTTCCACCCGCTTCTGTAAAGCGTATGTACATAGCCAGAGAAATGAGCAGTTACAAGGCAGGTGGAAGTAGGCAGTTTAGCTTCAGGAGGGTGGTAACCTATCCTAAATCTGGCTGATCACCAGAATCAGCTGGGGAATTGTTGAAACATACAGATTCCTGGGTCCCCCCAGACTAACTAAATTGGAATCTGAGGGGAGGAGAACAGGACACAAACACATACCCCTCTCTTATCAGTGGTCCTCAGCTTCGGCTGCTTGTTGGAATTACTTGGGGAGATTTAAAAATTATCAATGCCTAGGTCCTACTTCCAGAGATTCTGATCGAATTGTTCTAAGATGTGGCTGAGCTTCTTTTTTAAAAACTCCCATAATTGAGAACCGTGCCTAAAGTGATTCTGATTAGCCAGTGCTGGAAAACCGTGATCTGACGGGTCTCCAGTGTCTGAAGACGGAGACACGAATAAGAAGAGGGCCCTCTTCTGAGCCCGGAAGTCCACAGGGTGCCTGAGGAGGCACCTACATGAAAGAGTTGCAGATGTTAATTGACTGGGCAGCTCGGAGAGAAAGCATATGGAAAAGGAAAGATTCAGCGAATGTGACTGTAAAAGAGCACTGAGTTTATTTCTGGATCCTCCTCTCTGAGGCCACAATGATGCCTAAGTGGTATGGACAGAACTGTGCCCCTTTCTCCACCGAACTCATATGTTAAACGCACCCCCCCACCATGTGACTTTATTGGAAATAGGTCCTTAAAGGGGGTGATTAAGGTTGCATGAGTCATAAGAGTATAGCCCTAATCCAGTAGAATTGGTGGCCTTTTAAGAAGAGGAAGAGAGAGGGAGACAGCCCCCTGTGAGGACACAGCAAGATGGTGGCCAGGCCAGCCAGGAAGAGCTGTCTCCAGAAACAACCTGCCAGAATCTCGATCTCGTGTTTCCAGCCTCCGGAATTGTGAGGAGGTACTATATTTTGCTGGGTATAATGCGCTCCGGTGTATAATGCACACCCATGCTTTTGGCCCAAACTTTCAGGAAAAAAATCTTTCGTTTTAATTTTTAAATTCAATTATTTATTTATATTTAGAAACAAACTGATTATTATATTCCAGGGTCTTATTTTGTATACGGATATCATTATTGCTTTCCAGAGTTACACTTTTAATAACACATAAGCATAAGAATTAAAAGCATTTTTGAGATATAGAATTAGTACTACCCATGTATAATGAATGCCCCCTCTTATTTTTCCCTCAAAAATTTGGGCAAAAAAGTGCACATTATACACTGCAAAATATGGTAAATTTCTATCATTTAAGTCACTCAGGCAGCCCAAGCAGCCTAAGAAATCAAGTAATTAATGCCTCACTTCCTAACATCTGTTAGCTCCTCTTTGATGTGCCTGTGCTGTTCCTGCCCACTTCCCACGCTCCCTCTCTCCCCCTGGGAAGTACTGCTACCCAGTCCCCATACGTGAGCGCTCCCCTGCTCCAGCAAAGCTGTATAGAAACAGATTGGCAAGAGGCCCTCTTCGGATGGTGGCCTCCCAAACAGAATTCTACCCCCGTTCGTATCGCCCCCCGCCCTGCCTCAAGGGGTCAGTGCTTCTGTCTTTGCCCAGCAAGTGCGTGCTTTTTCACACATTGTGAAAGGTGTAATGATGATAATGCCTCTCATCCATTATTTCATTTGGTCCTGCCAACAGCTTGGTGATGTTGGGCACAAATCAATTTATTCCCGTATTGCTGGTGAGGAGACTAAGGCTCAGAGAGGTGAAGCGGCTTACTCTGAGTACCCGAAAACACCTGCTGGAGAGTCTTGCCACTATTAATGTTTTGGGCTAGATCATTATTTATTGTGGGAGGCTGTTCTGTGCATTGTAGGGTATTGAGCAGCATCCTTGGCCTCAACCCACCAGATGTCAGTAGCACCTCCCCAGGTGTGACAGTCAGAAATGTCTCCAGACACTGCCAACTGTCCCCGGGGGGCCAAGCTCTCCCCAGGGAAGAACCATGCTATTAGCAATAAGCCTTCAGGTCTGAATAGGAATAGGTAGATGTCTTAAGGTTTTTTGTTTTGGGGGAGATTTTTTGATTGTCCTGCTATTATTTATTAAGCACCTTTTATGTGCCAGGTGCTTTACATACCGTCTCCCTTTCAGTCATCAGAGTATCCCATTGAAGCGGATGGCATTATTCCTCACTAGCAGATGAAAGACCGAAAGGCTGGCTTGCCCAGTCAGTAAGTGGCAGAGCCAGGATTAAAACTTACATCTTTCCTACTCCAGAACCTGAGGCCTTTCCCCTGGGTTCACTCTGTAGATGTTTTCACATAACCTCTGTGGCTCGCTCTGTCTCTTTAAGGCAAAGCCTAAAGATGTGCATTACTGCACTTCATCCTTCTGCCCGCTCTCCTCATAGACAGACTCGTAGCCAAAGACATCGCTGCACCCTTCCAGGCTGCAGGGGCTGAAGGAAGTCTAGACCCGATCTGGTATGGAGAAGTTTGTCCCGAGATGACTATAGGGAAGCATTCTCAAAATAGCTTTAAGCGAGGCTTATGTTAACTTTCCTCTTATCATTTGTTGGTACTTTTCCCATTTAATTTTAGTACATCTGTGGTTTTATCTATAGCTCAGAATTGTGAAGAAGTGGATAATTTTGTCATGTTTGTTTTAGCTCCACTGATGAAAAGAAGCACCCACTGGCTCTTTCTTATCTTTGTTTTGGATAGCAGAAATTGCCTAGGTATATGAAATGACTTTAAAAAATAGCACTAAATCATTTTTAGAGCATTTTCACAATGTTATTTTAATCTCTTAACCTCTTGTGAAGTAAGGAGTTGAAGGTATTTTTAACTCCATTTTATAGACAAGGCTCAGAGAGGTTGTGTGACTTGCCCGATGCCAGTGTGCTGTGAGGTGGTGCAGCCAGGACTAGATCCAGCACCTGCTGGCGTCAGCTTGGATGGGAGTTTAGAGCTCTTCCTGCCATCTGCTGCCTTGTGTAGCTGGTAGTTCCCACCATGTCGCCCCAAAAACCGTATAACCAGCAAAAGAGCTGACTGGTTTGTGCTTCATTTCCTGGCCCCTCTACCTGCTGTTGGCTCAGATGCGACTGAGTCTGGCGATAGCCAAAGGCCACGCTTGAGAAAATAAGTAGGGGCCATAATTGGCCTCTGCAGAACTGAGAAAATATCGAGAAGGGGAATAAATATTTAGTAGGGAGAATAGAAGCAAATTATTTACTTTGTTTTGGTTGTTACAGTAGGAAGTGAGGTAGACTCTATTACAGTTTGTTTTTCCTTTCTACTTGTGACTAGAAATGTGAGGAGAGGAGAGTAGGAGGGAGAACCTAGGGATGAGTTTTTTATAACCTTCCAATAGCAGACATAGGCAAATGGGTAGTGCCATGTTTTCTTAAAAAGAAGAAGAAGAAGAAGAAGCAGCAGCCCTGGCTGGTGTAGCTCAGTGGATTGAGCGCAGGCTGCAAACCAAAGTGTCGCAGGTTCGATTCCCAGTCAGGGCACATGCCTGGGTTGCAGGCCACGGCCCCCAGCAACTGCACATTGATGTTTCTCTCTCTGTCTATCTCCCTCCCTTCCCTCTCTAAAAATAAATAAATAAAATCTTAAAAAAAAAAGAAAAAAGAAAAGAAATTAAGCCCTAGCTGGT